GAGAAATGGAGAAGGGAGAGGGGAAAACCCAACATTTCTCTTAAGCAAAAGCAATATTCCTGAATACATCTTTTCTCATTTCCTTGCCTATTCTCCTGGGAGGTAAAAGCTTTTGATCAGAGGCATAATTAATGCCATCTTCTGACCATTCTATTCCCTTGGATGGGAGTGAACAATAGGTTACGGGGCAATAGAGCGAAATTAGATTTTAGCTGAACATATGTCTTGACCTTTTCCTTAAAGCCAATCTATTTACTTCATAATGCAGCCCATCTTGCATCAACTCGTGTAACCAGACTCAGTGTAAAGGTTAAGACATCTGCGAATCAGAAACTACCCTTTCTTTCTTTCCTTCCTTCCTTCCTTCCCTTCCTTCCCTTCCTTCCCTTCCCTTCCTTCCCTTCCTTTCTTTTTTCTTTTCTTCCTTCCTTTCCTTCTTTCCTTCCTTCCTTCCCTTTCTCCTCCCACTTTCTTTCTTCCTTTCTTTTTTCTTTCTTTCCTTCCCTTCCTTCCTTCTTTCTCCCCTCCCTCTATTTCTTTCTTTCTTTCCTTCCTTTCCTTCCCTCTCCCCCCCTTTTTCTTTCTTTCCTTTCTTTTTCTTTCTTTCCTTCCTTCCTTCCATCTTTCTTTTTTCTTTTCTTTTTTCCTTTCTTCCCTTCTTCCCATTCCTTCCTTCCCTCTCCCCTCCCTTCCTCCCTCCCTCCCTCTTTCTTTCTTTTTTCCTTCCTTCCTTTCTTTCTTTCTTTTCTTTTTTCTTCCTTCCTCCCTCCTTTTCCTTCCCTCCCTCCCTTCTTTCTCTTTCTTTCTTTCTTCTTTCCTTCCTTCCTTCCCTCTCTCCTCCCTCTTTCTTTCTTTCTCCCTTTCTTTTTTCTTTCTTTCCTTCCTTTCCTTCTTCCCTTCCCTTCCTTCCTCTTCCTCCCCTCCCTCTCTTTCTTTCCTTCCTTCCTTTCCTTCCCTCTCCCCTCCTCCTCTCTTTCTTTCTTTCCTTTCTTCTTCTTTCTTTCTTTCCTTCCTTCCATCTTTCTTTTTTCTTTCCTTTCTTCCCTTCTTCCCTTTCCTTCCTTCCCTCTCCCCTCCCTCCCTCTTTCGTTCTTTCTTTCTTCTTTCTTTCCTTTCTTCTTTCTTTCTTTTCTTTTTTCTTCCTTCCTCCCTCCCTTTTCTTCCTTCCCTCCCTCCATTCTTTCTTCCATCCTTCCTTCCTTCCTTTCTTTCTTGTTGACATGGAAACACAAAGTAGAGATTGAGAAAGAGATGGCATGAACAACCAGGGTGCAGTGAAGGTTGTGGAGTACACACAATGTTACGAGTCATTTTCAAGTCATCTTATAGCAATAGCAATAGCAGTTAGACTTATATACCGCTTCATAGGGCTTCCAGCCCTCTCTAAGTGGTTTACAGAGTCAGAATATTGCCCCCACAGTCTGGGTCCTCATTTCACCCACCTCGGAAGGATGGAAGGCTGAGTCANATGCATTCTTATCATTCTTATTATTTTTTTCAAGAGGCAACTGGACTTTCTTGTTTTTTCTTTGAAGATGTTTCGCTTCTCATTCAAGAAGCTTCTTCAGCTCTGACTGGATGATGGGGAATGGAAGGATTGATACTCCTTGCAGACAGAACTGGTTATTTACATTCTTTTTAGAGAGTCATTGAGGCCATTTGGAGGTTTATTGTGTCCTCAGGGCCAGAGGAAATTCATGGAGTTGAAGTCCATACATCTTCAACTTGCCAAGACTGAGAAATACTATTTTGGGTAGTTTTAAGATGGCCCACAATAGGATAGTTCTGGCCGGGGTGTTTCGTAGGAGTCATTAACCCAACACCACCTCGTTAGCTAAAGGAATTAATCCCCAGGAATGGTGTGGTGGCTAGAGGTAGAACTCTTGCCTCGCAATCAGGAGGTTGCGGGTTTGATCCTAGGTAGAGGCAGATACTTGCCATGCCATTTGGGCTTCAAAATTTTTAGGAAAGGGTTCTCTGCCCGGTTGCTGGGTGGGCATGGCCATGTTGGGTGTGGCCTCGTTGGCCTCCCCAGGCTCTGGAGTTTTTTCTCGAGCCTCCAGGAGGGGGAAAACAGCCTCCCTAGACTCTGGAAGCCCTCAAGAGGCCCATTCCCAGCGTTCCCAAACTTCCAATAGGCCCGTTTTTCACCCTCCCTGAGCGTCTGCATCCAGGGGTGGGTTCCTGAACTGGTTAACACTGGTTTGCTGCACGCTCGCTCACACGACGGCCACGCATTGCTTGCACATGCACATTTGACTAGAAATTGCTCAGCCTATGCACAGAACCATGCCAGCAACGACAGAAGGCACTGGAGAACTGGTTCGAGGGTGTGTCCGGCCTGGGCTGCTGCCGGTTTTGCGACCCAGCCCTGAATTCCACTACCGGTTCAGCCGAACTGAAAGCAACCCACCTCTGTCCGCACCCACCAGAGGTGGGTTCCTACCAGTTCGCACCTATTCGGTAGAACCGGTTCGTCAAATCTACCAAAC